TCGAGACCTTTCATTTGAGTACCCATATCAATTTTTCATATATTTTATATATTTATATATATTATATATATATATATATGTATATATGAAAAATATATCAAAAATGCATGTGTGTACTCAAATGAAAGCTCTTGATGAGTATAACATCAGGATGAGCTTATATCTTTAAAAATGTCAATAGTTAAAAAGAAAAAATAGATTCTTACAATTTTGGGCTTAAACGGTGGCTGAACTTCCCGGTTTTCAATTCTCTCCCAATCAATTCGACGGAAAAATGCGTGTCCTCTTACATCATCTTCACCACGATGCCCACATCCCAATCTTTTACTTGGATTCTTTGTCAAAAACTGCAAATAATAAATTTATTTAATATTTTAACTCTTCTTTAAATAAATCGGTGGTAATCTTATCGGACTTATAAATCACAAGCTGTAAAAGTTTGAACAGCCTTAATCGAGCAAACTTTTAACAACTCAATTACAAAAACCAGGTATAAAGTCACGGGCGTAATAAATGCGTGGGGTTTACAGAAACTTGGATAACTTACGCCTTTGCAAGCTTCTTTAGATTCCTTCGATAAGCTCTTGGGGTAATTAACGCTGTGATCAGTTATTGCTGCGAACAATTCTTCTTCATCTTCACCGTCAAATGGTGGCTGACCTACCAGCATTTCATACAGTAATACTCCGTACGCCCACCAGTCTACTGATTTTCCGTATGGTTGGTAGAGAATTATCTGTTTAATTTAAAAAAAATTTTAATTAATTACAATTATGAAATTTTATAAAACAAATTTTAAAGAAGAAATTAAAATTAAAAGATTTTAAATAAGAAATCAAAAATTTTAAACAAAAAATGTTAAAGAAGAAATTTATTAATAAAAAATTAAAATTATCAAATTTTAAAGAAGAAATTTAAATTAAAAGATTTTAAAGAAGAAATTTTAACCAAAAAATTGTGAAGAAGAAATTTTTAGATAAAAAACTGTAATTAAAAAATTTAAAAGAAGAAATTTAAAATAAAAAATCAAAAATAAATATTTTAAAGAATAAATTTAAAGATTTTAAGGAAGAAATTTTAAATAAAAAATAAAATAACCTCAGGAGCAATGTAATCAGGTGTTCCACAGAATGTTTTGGTCGTTCTATCACCAGTAATGCCTTCTTTGCACATACCAAAATCGGCAATCTTAATATGCCCATCCTGATCCAGCAGGACATTGTCTAATTTTAAATCACGATAGACTATTCCGCGAGAATGAAGGAAGAAAAGTCCAATGGCTATTTCAGACGCGTAAAATCTACAAATAATTTATATTGTATAAGTAATTGCTTATTTAAAAATTATATGGCAGCTCAATATTTTATTTAATTAATAACTTACACTGCTACAGGCTCTTTGAATTTTCCACACTGCTGTATTTGGAACATAAGATCTCCCCCGTTTACGTACTCCATTACAAAGTACAGCCGATCCTTGAAAAAAAAATAAAATTAATTAAAAAATAATTGCAAGGTGGTAAAAGCAATTGTTTACCATTGTTTGAAAACAGGAATGAAGTTGAACAAGAAACGGTGGCTTGTGCGACAATGCAAGAACACGTTTCTCCACCATCGTACACTCGACATCATCGTCTTGAATAATAATATCCTTCTTTAATATTTTAATCGCGTACAATTCATCCGTACCCTTGCGTTCAGCCAGCAAAACTTTACCGAAACTTCCTTTTCCAAGTACCATAAGAAAGTTAAAGTCCGAGGCTCTTATTAAATCACTTTTACCCATATTGTGAGGTACTTCTCTGTCTTGCGGTGTCGGCGTTTTCTTTGTAACTGAAGTTTTCTAAATAAATAAATTAATTAAATAATTATAATTGCTCCTGCTGTTAACAATTGTTGCATGAATAATTTACCCTCATTTTTAATTTAAGCTCCGCTAGATCGACGCCTTCCTCGGGCACGGGGACGTTGTAGAACTCTCCCTCTTCTTGCGTGAGCAGCTTGTACCACCCGTTGGCGGGGGCTTTTATTAATTCCGAAATACCGAAGGACAATGAACCCATAAAGTCGTTCCTCGACGTCCTGTCCCAGTCCCAGACTTCTATTAAGAGTCTCCTGTCCTTGTCTTCGGCTTTTAGATCGCTAGAAATTTTAAATAATCAATTATTAAGAAATTACCTTGTATCTTATGAAATATTGACATTTTTTAAGATATAAGCTCATCTTGATGTTATATTCATCAAGACCTTTCATTTGAGTACCCACATCAATTTTTCATATATTATATATTTATATATATATATATATATATGTATATATGAAAAATATATCAAAAATGCTTGTGAGTACTCTAATGAAAGCTCTTGATGAGCGTAACATCAGGATGAGCTTATATTTTTAAAATATATATTATATATATGTATATATGAAAAATATATCAAAAGTGCATGTGGGTACTCAAATGAAAGCTCTTGATGAGTGTAACATCAAGATGAGCTTATATCTTTAAAAACGTCAATATTTAAAAAAGTACAGTGCAATTTAACAAAATTTAATTTCTTATTTTTACAAATTCATCAAACAAACACTTACAAAGTGATTGTCTCGTTCCATTCTGGATTTAAAGATGCTTTGATTGTCTTTGTTTTTTTTTTCACTCCATCCGTGTCGGGAATTAATTTAAGCTTTACATAAGGATCTGATAATCCGTTTGGATCCATTGGAATGAGATTTCTTCCTCGCTGAACTAAAAAAACAACAATTACAATAATACTTACACTTAAAATCAAAATTAGAATTTTTTTACCTTCAACAGTAAGTTTATTTCCAGCTGCAATTATATGAAGGGCGATACGGCCACGTCTTTCTGTGTGATCACATCCGCAGAGATTAGGTACGCTCTCTTCGCACCTTTTGTGGACGTTCATGTCACATGCTATCAATAAAAATATTAAAATTAATTTTTCTATTCGATTATACCAGCCGTAATTAATTTTGAAAGTTGTCCTGTCGAAAAATTAATTATAAAATTCAATAATTTCTTCATAAAAAATTTTTTTATTTAAATATTTATTACATTATTTTTATATTAATCAATTGCAGGATAAATGGGGTCATTAAAAAAATTACACTGAAAAAATAACAATTAATTTTTTATTAAATTAATGACTAAAATCTTGAGAATTTTCTTGTAGAAAATTCCAATAAAAAAAGATTTTTTTCGTATTTAAAAATCTTTCCCTTAATTTTTTTTCAGTGTACTTTTTTCTGAGAAAAATAGTATCATAAATAAATAATAAACTGTTGTACATGGCATAAATACACGATAAAAATAGTGTTCATGCATATAAATATATATATATATATATATATATATATATATATATATATATATATATTATGCGTGAGGTTTTATGCAGTTAATCGATATTCCAACTACAATATTATATTTAATATACTAAATAATAAATAACGGCAAATAAAAATACGAAGCACATTATAAATTTATAAAATACACTATCGATTAACAATAATACTTATTTTATTACAAACTAAACTAAACACATAGAAGCCATGAATTAATAAAAATATCTAGTGAGTAAATAAAATGGGATGGAATATTAATTAAATTTTTTACACATTTCTGGGAAATAATCGTGCATAAATATATGTATATTAAGTCGGCTTATCTGTTTTTTTTTGTTCTATAAAAATGGGGTTTCGCTATATATATGAGAAGCCTTTTAATAGATCTATTTGTTTTTTTTTTATAATTTATAATAATTATTGTCGCATGATTTATGATACTGTTCCTAACATACAACAGTACTATTTCTATGACGATATTTCTATTGAATCAGTAACTACCTGAACACTTGAGCCCCTGGTGAGCAATACCGTGGAGCATTGAGCCGCAATGGTCGCAGAAAGTCGGCGTCAAGTACGTGAAAGTATCCCATTTGTGAGCCGTTTTCGCTGCCTGAGAACACAAAATTACAGGGCCGACAACAACCCCGGTTTTTTTCTAGTACGATTTTTCCCTTTTACTTTTTTATTGCTCGCGGTGATTATTATTTACTGATGTATGAGTGGAGGAATTTAGGAGTGGATTTTTATTTTAGTTTTTTAATTATTTAGCAGTATATTTACATTCACACTGATGTCATACCTTCGGAAATTTAATTATTTAGTTTTTGAGAAAGTTATTTTTACTTAAAATTTCTTTTTTTTTAAATAAAATTTAATTAAAAATTTTTTTTTCCTAACTAACAATTTTTGGACAAAAATTAATTAATTTTTTTTTCCGAATTAATTTAATTAATTTTTTTTCTTTTAATTAATTTAATAAAAAAAATTTTTTTTCTAATTAATTTTTATATTTAATTAAAAATTTTTGGACAAAAATTAATTAAATTTTTTTTTTTGGTAGTTAAAAAATAATATTTAAATAAATAAAAATTAATAATTTAAAGAAAAAATTTTTTTTCGAGTTTTTTTTTATAAAAACAAAGACAAAATTTGTAAAAATATCACCAGAAAAACAATGAATAAAAGATTGTGTACATAAAATAACCTATATTAGTATTAATATTATTCAGGGTGCCTTTTTCGTGAGTAAACACCAATAATAGGCAGCTAAGCTAACAATTTGACGTTAACATTTTACGTAATCTACATTATAGCATCTAATATATAATAAACCACGGAATGCTTCTCGGTACTGCCGGATTGCGAAAATGATCCGCTCAATTTGATTGACACGACATAAATAAAAGGTTCAAGGCTGGCCCGAAGCCTCACTTTGCCTTTTATTATCTCTCCTCTCAAGCTAATTGATCCGACCGATCTAACGTCTTTATTCCTTCAATAGAAAATTTAAAAATTCCCTCAAGAAAAAAAAGATAAATAAAAGAAACAACCTTTTTATTTTTTTTTTACAAAAGGAAAACAATGAAAGCATTTCTCTGCAGCCCCAGTTTTCTCGACTACGAGACTATAGTCTCTTGGCCCACTGCCCTAATAAGGTGCCACGGGATAGGAGTATAGAGCAGAGGGTGCAGAGAGAATAAATCCCGGTGATATTTTTTTTATTAAAGCTTAGCTTTGAGCTTCAGCTCTATATACCATTAAGCTTTCTTTACAGAGGCCCGATAAATTATTTTGTTGTTAATGTCCACTCACTCAGTAGGTCTAATCACTAGAAGATTATTTATATTATTAAGAGAATAAAAAAAATTTTGTGCCCTATTAAAATCGGTTTTTTTAGTAAAATTAATTCATAATTAAGAAATTACCTTGTATCTTGTGAACTATTGATATTTTTAAAGATATAAGCTCATGTTGATGTTACACTCATCAAGACCTTTCATTTGAGTACCCACATCAATTTTTTATATATTTATATATATTATATATATGTATATATGAAAAATATAT